ATCAGTGCCCGGACATCCTAACATGTCTAATGGAGATGTCTCTTGCATTGCGCCTGCCATGTGCAATGCATGTTTGCAGATCCTCTTCAAAACACCCACGTTTTGCTCACTTTTGGCAAGGTGCAGAATCCCTTGCGCTTGCCACACAAAACGACTCTAGGTTGTCCAAAAATGCGTTGGTAGTAGCAGTTTGACTTCGAAATGCTCTTGGCGCCACAACAGCGTGCACTTTTTCAACATCTCAACTTCCAAAAGTGCTCCGAGGCTGAGGTGCTTTGCACGTGTTTACTTCGAAATGTGCTTCGTGCCGCAACAACGTGCACTTTTTTCACATCTCAACTGCCAAAAGTGCTCCGAGGCTGATGTGCTTTGCACCACATGTTTATTTCGAAATTTGCTTCACACCTCAACTTCCAAAAGTGCTCCGGAGCTCAGGCATTTCGTACATTTTGACTTGGAAACACGCTTCGCCGTGCGCTTTTTGAGCATCTAAACTTTCAAAAGTTCAATAGTGGTCCGAACCCGCGGTGCTTTTAGCATTTTGACTTGCAAGCGTGCTTCGCACCACAGTCGCATATACTATATCCACGTCGGAACTTCCAAAAGCGCTCCGACAATGAAGTGCTTTGACAATTTTGACTTCAAAATCTGCGCGTGCAATCAGCGTGGAATTTTTGATCTCTCCGCTGACCAAATGGCTCCGAATTGCCGCTGGAGCGAGCCTACTTTTCGACCATCCGTAGCCTCCAAACATTGAATAACGCATGGAAAACACAGTGTTTCGCGACTTCTCTACCGTTTCGCGCACCTGCATCTTCTTTCTTCATCCTCTTTCTCTTCTCTCACTCTTCCCACCTCTGCTTTTCCATCTGTCCATATTATCGGAAGTTTGACTTCTAAAAACTTCCTTCCGCTACTACTACTACTACTACTACTACTACTACTACTACTACTACTAACTACTAACTACTAACTACTAACTACTAACTACTAACTACTAACTACTAACTACTAACTACTAACTACTAACTACTAACTACTACTAACTACTAACTACTAACTACTAACTACTAACTACTAACTACTAACTACTAACTACTAACTACTAACTACTACTACTACTACCTACTACCTACTACCTACTACCTACTACCTACTACCTACTACCTACTACCTACTACCTACTACCTACTACCTACTACTACTACTACTACTACTACTACTACTCCTACTGCTGCTGCTGCTGCTGCTGCTACTATAATCACTACTACTACTACTGCTACTACTACTACTACTATAATCACTACTACTACTACTACTACTACTACTACTACTACTACTACTACTACTCCTGCTACTACTACTACTACTACTACCACTACTACTGCTACTACTACTACTTCTACTACTACTACTACTACTACTACTACTACTGCTACTACTACTACTACTTCTACTACTACTAACTACTACTTGGTTGATGGGTTGCTGGCTTGCTGGCTGGCTTGCTTGCTTCACTCCTTCCGTCCTTCCCTCCTACCTTCCTTCCTTCTTTGCTGTCTTGTTTTCTTGCGGGCTTGCTTCCACGGATTTTTGGGTCAGAAACCTGAAGAAAAAAGGCAGAAACGTAATTAGTGCCTCTGATTCCCACCTTAATAATCCCTTCTTCCTATTTCTAAAACTCCCCCCAATAAAAAGAATGGGATTGGTGTGGCACTTCCGTTTTTTGATTGAGCATCAATTGGATTCTTAATTGTGGTAATTCAGAATCAAGAGGGGAACAGGATGGTGAAACAATGGGTTCAACCCACTATTAATAAAAATAGATTGCCGCCTCGAAGTTTTTTATTAGAATCCAATCTCACAAATTGTATTTTCCATTTTTACTATTAAGGTTTTCATTGGAATATGAACGGAAGGCTTCGAAATTCAGTTTTTGGCAATATTTTTTGGAAATGCTAATAAGGGATTTAGTCAAATTTGAAATTGATTTTTTATGTTTATTATTAAAGTGTTCATTGGAAAATGAAGGGAAAGTTCCGAAATCCAGTTTTTGGCCATATTTTACATAGATTTTTAAAACTGATATTCAATCAAATTAGAAATCGAGTTTTCTCACACTAATTATTAAGGTTTTCACGGGAATATTCGGGGCACCCTACTACAAAATACACCCTAATAATAAAAATAAATCACCGTGCTTACCATTTGGGGGGGAGGGGGGTGCTTTAGTAATAGGGAGAGAGGATTGGCACCATTGTATTCTTCCTGGCTTCTGGTGGGTAAATGCTTGGGTATCCGGGTTCCGCCGGTGAATTTCTCACCAGACCACTAACACCAATGGCCAAGAGGCGCCATCATGTTCAAGGACGCTCTTTAGCAGAAGGCTCAAGGCTTGCCGTTTGGCAAAAAAAAGTTTGTTGTCCCCACAGCCAGACACCAAGTTGAAGAGGGCGCGGCTCGCAGCCCGTTGAACAGTTGACTCTGTTGGATGCTGCTGCATGGCCTTCAACACTGCCTCGCAGGCCATCTCCGTGTTTCCTTTGTCCTTTATATCGATCTTGTGCGCTGCTCGGGCGACCTTAGTGCTCATTGGGATCTTCTCCGGGTCCAAGAAAGAAAAAATAAACCCTGGCTGGTGGAGAAAGATCCTTGCAAAGAGTATCCGGCATTGTTGGCTATTCCCACTTTTTCCGATCAGCATCATCTCTGCCAAGGGCCCCACATCCGCCAAGCGACGATTTGACAGATATGGCCTGCCACATAATAGGGAAGCTTGATCCGCCCATGCACCATGGCATCATAAGCCTTCTCCGGATCCAAACCTGCCAGCTGTCTAAACTTATGAGCCGGATTTACCTGCTATATGTCTATATATCATTATACATCCCTGTTTGTTCAACCCTCTCTGAAGAAGAAAAGAAACCAAGATCGAGAGATGTGAAGAGAACGAAATGAAAAGAGAAAGAGATGTCAGATGTCGGAGATGATGGAGATGTCAATGTGAATAAATTCTTTCTGCAACGCGCACGGCGTTGTCTGGCATCCTATTGGGCACATTATTTTGCCTTGTAGGTTCTTGATTTTCGAAATTTCTGCATTGCCCCCTATTAAATACCAAACAACATTGTGTGGTAATAAACCCCTAGTGGTCTCTGGCATCCAAACCTTGATGTCAGGAAGCAAAAGAAACATAAAAGAGCTGGGGGCTACAAACAGAACAAACAGAATAGAGTCAATAGAGCAACCTTGCAGCAGTTGAATGTGTTCAAAACTCAACAGTCATTGCCCGAGACAAGGTGCCAGTGATACTCACTGGACCAGCCGGGTCTTCGGAAGCACCAACCAAACGCTTGAAATACAAGGGACCAAGCTGAGCCTAAAGCCAACCTAAGTTGTGCCTGGTAGTTTTTCCAAAGTTTCTACCATGCTGTATTCAAGGGGTTGTGCATAAATCATGCCTAAATCCTCTTCTCAGGGAAGTGCTAACATCTACAAAGTTCCATCATCTTCCTAGACATTGACTCACACAAATGCGAACCCTCAGATTTCCCCCTTTGGTTGGCTTGGAAATCAATGGATGGATCCAGCCTCCTTTGCCGCTGAACTCGGCTATGCCGGCAATCTCCAAGGGAATGATTTTGTCGGAATTATCAGCCTCCTCTAGCGCTTTATCAGTTAAGAGCTTTGTCACATAGACCCTGTCCGCATTAGTCCTCCATTCCGCGTCCACGTCATAGGCACAGAACCAGTAGAGGAAGAAGAACAGGGAATACCTGGTGGTGAGGGTCTTGGCGCCGTGTAGAATTGGACAGTTGGGTTGGACCATGTTGGACCCGAATCTGCTGATTGCGACCCATCCAGGGCCTGATCCGAAGGCTTACAGTAATAGTGACATAGCCCGCCGGTGGCATATGGTGGTGCAACAAGTTAGAAATCTTTTGGGAAAAATCGATGGGCCAGCCGGTTCGGTGTTCCATGTGTCATCATTTATATACTTGTTGATGTGGGAGTGCCCCTCTAACAATGAACGAACCAATGTGAAAATGGCACATAGCGTCAAACATTCAAGCTCCGGGTCCTACATCCACTGCCCATACAACAGACTCCACATCCAATCCCCAAACACGACAAACACAAGCTTGAATCAGGCAACCAAATCAATATCATATATATATCGATATATATATATATATATATATATATATCGATATATATATATATATCGATATATATATATACCTCTAAGTGGCATGTCAAGGCCACTACCCGTGCAGTAACTCCACACAGTCTTGCTTTGCTGCCAACTCCCCTCCATCTGCCTCACAACGTTGCATGAAGCGAAATACCACAGCACCCATTTCATCCAAACCTTCCAAGGACAGGTAGAACTGAGTGAAACTGAGGGTGGGTTGGCCACCTGTCCAAAGTTCAATGATGGAAAGGCGTTCGATTCAATTTTGAAAGGCACCGTGATGAATTTGACATTTGACTCTGTAGACACACATATGTATATATATATATTACATTACATCATTTATGTAATATATATATATATAATGTACAGGAGTTGCCACACTTAAAGAACGGAATGAGGAGTACAAAAGTACGGATTCGGATCCTGTTCTATAATTAATTTTGGGTTGTTCTAAAATTAATTTGTGCTCCTCATGTAGATTGTATGAGTCTTGGAGGTTACTTACATGTATTTACATCATTTCATTTATTTTTCTGGGCACCGGAAGAATGTGCATAGAAACCACACATGTAAGACGGAATTATTGCAAATTTAATTATAAAAACTCAATTATAGAACAGAATTGGTAAATGCGGGAAATATGGGGGAAAACACAATTATATATGGAACACAAACAAGAATTATAGAATGACAAAAAAGTTAACAACAAGATACGGTAAACAACCGTACTTTCGTACTCCTCAGCTTCTGTTTTATAATTGTGATAATATGTATATATATATATAAATATATACACCAAATATAAATAACATAAATGAAAATATCTATATATATATATAAATATATATACCATATATGTATATATATATATATGTTATTAAAAAAATCGTTTGAATATAAATCTATACATATATATCTTGTATTTATCATATATGTATCAAATATAAATATATATAAATATATAAATAACAAATATTTATATATATTTTTTATCATGTATATATATATCAAATACACATATATATATATATTTATAATAATCATAAATGTCATATAGAAATATATATATATATACAAACCAAAAACCAAAAGAAAAAAATCATATATATATACATATAATATTTTTAAAACGTCATATATTTACATAATGTCATATGTATATATCATAGATATAATTTTAATAAAAAAACAAAAATATATTTCATATACAAATATATATTCTATCATATATATGTGTGTGTCTATCATATATACATATGCATATATTCTATCATATATATATATATATGTATCTTATATATAAAATCAAATATATATATATATAATCAAATATATATATATATATCGTATAGATAAAAATATAAATCATATAAATATATATATATATACCATATATGTATCATATATATATAATATTACGTATCATATATATATAAATTACGTATCATATATAGATAAAAATATATATGTATACAACAAAGATAAATTTCACATACATTTAGAATTAAATATATCATATTTACAAATATATAATTATACAAATATAATATATATATATATATTTATTTATACACCGTATATTTACACATAGATGAATATATATATATATATATTTATATATCACATATATATATATGTATATTTGGATATACATACACCATATATATATATTGTATTTATCCAAACATACGTTGAGTATCTATGCAAAAAATAAAATGGAAATGCATCGTGCACGTGTAGGACGGTCGGGGGTATATTCCGATCCACCGAGCCACACACACATATTCCTTCTAAGGCAACGTGTTAACAAAAACTCCTGCAACCGTACCAGTATCTGAAGGCTCAAACTGCCAGGTCTGTTGTTCAAACGTAAATCAGCCGTGACGAATTGTACTGCAGTTAACAAGTTCCCCGGTTTCAGCCATCATTTTTGGCCAAAGGGCGTGAGATTCCAAAAGGTCGTACGCATCTGCAGACTTGAACGTAAAGACACAAGTCAAAGCTAAGATGAGTTCACCCAAATGAATCAGCACCTTAAAAGCACTCGCCAGGATGACAGAAAAAACACGCAGGCCCATCCAATTTCTGGCGCGTGCTAACTGAATGTGATGATCTCAGCATTCAACACAACAAAGAAACACAACGGAATTCGAAGTCTGATGTAAAACAATTGGTTCAAGGTCCAAGGTTCAAACTAGGACGCGTTGCTGTCGTTGACCCTATGCACTTCAGAGTGGTTGAAAATTGACAGCATGAAACTGGTAGGAAACAAGTGATGAAACTAAGACGCTAAAGGCAGAGATCCTTTGGCATACTGGGGGTTTGACGGAAATCATCTGTAGGTTCATTTTTTTGAAGTGTTTGGGAGCTGTGGCAGTTGTTCCATCAATTGTCTCGCGTCACACTTCAGATTGGGCCATGCAATCAAAACATGCAGTATTCAATATTCTAGTGACTCTAGTGCAGCTGTTTGAATTGAACATGCTTGAACCATGACACACTCCTTAATTTAGATTTGCAGGCGCATGTGAAATGAGAAGGCTCGAAGCATAGGTTGTTTCACCCGCTTGAGTTTGTGGCATATCTCATCCCAAAGCATGTTCCATCCAACAGCATGATTCATTCCCAAACGGGAAGCCGTTCCCAACAGCAACTGCGCTCCAAAATTCCTACTAGTTTGACCAGGTACTTGCAGCAGCGCCGGTGTTGAAAGAAATGCTTGACCAGCAGATCCGCGCAGAAGCACGGTTTCATATGCTCCAATGGTGTTGGGAATAGCGAACACCAACCTGGGCATAAATGAAAGGATTTGCAAAAAAATGGAAAACTGATTTTGGTTTCCAGTGTTCTGGTGCAATCAAAGAATATTGAAACTTTGTTGAAGTTATCTTTTATTGGAGGCTGCAACGAATCCTTCCTAATTTGGAAAAAACCCAATCTGACCCAGCTGACTGCTCGATGGCTACACTCCTTAAGAAAAACATACCCGAGAAAAAATAACATGGAACACAGACCTGGTCCAAAAATGTCACGGTCATTGTTAACATGGAATATACTTACTCCAAATCTCCAAAACAGCTTGGAGCCATGTGGGGCCCATTTCCACCTGCGAAAATGATCCCAACACTGCATGAGTGACCCCCGAAATTGGAACATGTTAATTTCCTTCCAAAGGAGTGTTTGTCCATGTTAGTCATTACTGGCGTAGGATGACACGATGATTTAACATGGAAATCCTGCGGAGGTCCTGTCTCTCTTCTTGTGGATGGTCCATGTTAAAACGCAGAGGATGGCTCAATGTTGGCTGGTGCCCGTTTCCATGTTAGCGTGTCTCGGGCGGCGTGCCAAAAAACAAAGAAGATACACAACAATTGCAGCAAAACACGGTCTTTACTCCATATTACATAGAACACAACGTCCCTGGGGTGGCTAGTGCCAGGTTCCATGTCTTCTGGGATGGCTGGTGCCAAGAAAGGTACTTTAGAGAGGATGCACATACCACACTCAATTTTTTTTGCCTCTTGTTCCATGTTAACGTTTCTGGGTTGCTGGTGCCAAGAAAGGTAGCGGGATAATTACACGCTATTCACCGAAACACCAGGTTCTGCTCCGTTGCTCTCCTCAAACCATCTCAGCTCTTTTAAATTCTCGCAACTCTTTTCAACAGCTCTCAAAGTTTTTTCATCTCTTCCCACCTCAGCTCAACTCTTTTCACCTCTTCCCCACTCTTTTCAACTCTTCTCAACGACTCTCACCTCTCTCCACCTCTTCTCAACTCTTCTCAACTCGTCTCAACTCTTCTCACCTCTCTCCACCTCTTCTCAACTCTTCCCACCTCTTCTCACCTCCGCTCAACTCATCTCACCTCTTTCTCAACTCATCTCAACTCATCTCAACTCTTCTCACCTCTTGTCAACTCCAACTCTTCTCACCTTTCTTCGCAGAGATGCTTCACACCGGGAAAACTATTACACACAGAAGCTTCTACACACAGAAAGTTTTGCACAAAGAAGCTTTTATACACAAGAGCTTTTAAACGGAAGCTTTTACACACAGCAAGGTTTTACACAGAGCAAACTTTTACACAGCAAACTGTTACACAGAGAAGCTTTTACACAGAGCAAGTTTTTACACAGAGAAACTTCTTCACAGAGAAGCATTTACATAGAACAATTTTTTGCACAGAGAAGCGTTTACACGGAGAAGCCTTTACACAGAGAAGTTTTTACACAGAGCAAACTTTTCCACAGAGAATTTTTTTCACAGAGAAGCATTTACACAGAGCAAGTTTTTGCACAGAGCAAGCTCTTACACAAAGAAATTTCTAGCACGGCAATTTGCTACACACAGAAAACTTTATACAGAGAAACTTTTACACAGAGCAAACTTTTACATAGAGAAGCTTGTACACACCAAGTTTGCACACAGAGAAGCCTTTACACAGAGCAAGTTCTTACACAGAGAAGTTTCTAGCACAGCAAGTTTTTACACAGAACCTTTTACACACAGCAAGTTTTTACACAGAGAAGCATTTACACAGAGCAAACTTTTACACATAAGTTTTTACACACAGCACACTCTTACACAGAGAAGCTTTTACACCGAGCAAGCTTGTACAGAGAATCTTTTGCACAGAGCAAACCTTTACACAGAAACTTTTACACACAGATTTTTTTCTCTGAGATTGTTTTAACTCTGAGCAAGTTTTTGCACACAGAAGCTTCGCACAGCAGGCTCTGAGACAGAGACGCTTTTACACAGAGCAAGCTTTTTCACAGAGAAGTTTTTACACACAGCAAGCTTTTACACAGAGAAGCCTTTTCACACAGCAATCTCTTGCACAGAGAAGCATTTACACAGGGCAACTTTTTGCTCAGAGAATGTTTTACACACAGAAGTTCTTTCCCAGAGACTTTTTTACACAGAGCAAGCTTTTGCACAGAGAAGCTTCTAGCACAGCAAGTTTTTACACACAGCAAGCTTTTGCACAGAGAAGCTTCTAGCACAGCAATTTTTTTCACAGAAGCTTTTACACACAGCAAGCTTTTGCACAGAGAAGCTTCTAGCACGGCAATTTTTTTCACAGAAGCTTTTACACACAGCAAGCTTGAGCACAGAGAAGCTTTTACACACACCAAGCTTGTACACAGAGAAGCTTTTACACACAGAAACTTCTAGACACAGAAGCTTTTACACACAGAAACTTATGCACAGAGCACAAGCATTCACACATCGAAGCTTCTACACAGAACAAGCTTTTACACAGAGCAAGCTTTTACACCGAGAAGCTTTCACACAGAGAATCTGCTACACAGGATGCGCCAAGATGAAGAAAAATCTGCTGCATTGGCAACCTTCAGGCAGCCACTAGAATATGATTTCTAACACCCAGCTGCGAAACGCAATAGTACTACACACGCAGACGCAGCAGCGAGAAGCCTTAACACAGCCAGTCCACTGCGATCTGCAGACGCTGAGTTGCGAAACACACTAGAATTACGCACAATGCGGCTACACTAATTGCAGCTCCAAAAGCGGTTGAATCTCGGCGGGAAAACGACGATTTTGAAGCCATTTCTCAAAGAAATTTTCAAAGGAAAATCATCAACGCCAAAATGTAGAAAAATCTGCTGCCAAAGCACCATTCGCAACCTTCATGCAGCCCCACTACAATACGATTTAGGACTCCCAACTGCAAAGACAATACTATTACGCACGCTGCCGCAGCAGCGAGGAACCTTGACGCAGCCATTCCACTGCGATCTGCAAACGCGGGGTTGCAAACACAGCGTCAACAAAGAAGAGAAAAAGTCATCTGGCGGCTTCAGTTGCATTGCGCGCAAATCGGGACAGATTCGGCGGCAAAGCGACGACGCCCGCACCAGTCGCGCAACCGAGCCAACTTTTCTCCGCAACTGAACCTCCGTTTACCCGAAAAAAACACAATGTTTCGTGCAAATCATAACATTAAAACTGATGCAGCAGTTCCAATGCGATCTGCCAACAATGACTTGAAAAACGCAATCAGAATCGCAAGACATTACTGCAGCCAAATCAAATGGCGCCCACAAGCCACAACCTACCCTGCTAACTTTTCTTGACTGGCCCAATGGGCCGCATTGCAAGTCAACTTAACATGCATGCAAAAAACCACTCAGCTGCTTTTTTCCACCAAGCACCGATAAAAGTGTCCACCGTCCTCATTTCTGGACATGTTCAAAAACCATAAAGCGTGCTGTTTCTATATTTCATTTTTCGGCCCATTGGGCCGCATAATCTTGTATATAACTGATCTGCGAATACCATATGTCAAAATTATGGCACATGGGGCTGCATATATCATGGTTTTGATATTGAATGGATGGTGTTGCAAACCTGCAACTAATTCATTGGAATGTTGCAGTGTTTTGTGGCATGATCACATTTCTCTGCCCTGCGATTCATGGAGCCGCACACTAGTCAAAGCGTTTTCAAAAGTAAATTGAAACTGTTGGAGACTATATCACAAAAAGCATGAAGAAGCATTGCTCCTTCAAACCCAACATGCTTGGAAAATACATATCCGCCGACCCTGGCCTTCGCCAAGGCCGGGGCGGCGCCTGGGACCACCGGAGGTGTGGATCCTGTCTTTCTTGAACCTTTGCCACGCCGTGGATCCTGTCTTTCTTGCACCTTTGCCACGCCCACACTGCAGGCAAACGCCATCACAAGGCCACAGCAATGGCTCAAGAGCACCCCACGGCCGCAGCAATGGCTTCTTTTATAGGCGTTCAAGGCTGCCTGCTGTTCCAGCGTTGCAGCCTGCCGTTTGCGTGCATAGCGCTCTGTCGTTAGGGCGTCCATGCCTCGGGCACGCCCGCAGGCAAAAGCCACCACAAGGCCACAGCAATGGCTCAAGGCATCCCCCCGGCCACAGCAATGGCTTGTTATAGGCGTTCAAGGGCCGTTTGACAGGCTTCAAACCCTTAAAACCCTTAAAATGCTTCGCCGGCCGTTTGCCTGCATAGCGCTCTGTCGTTAGGGCGTCCATGCCTCGGGCACGCCCGCAGGCAAAAGCCACCACAAGGCCACAGCAATGGCTCAAGGCATCCCCCCGGCCGCAGCAATGGCTTCTTATAGGCGTTCAAGGCTGCCGTTTGACAGGCTTCAAACCCTTAAAACCTTTAAAATGCCTCGCCGGCCGTTTGCCTGCATAGCGCTCTGTCGTTAGGGCGTCCATGCCTCGGGCACGCCCGCAGGCAAAAGCCACCACAAGGCCACAGCAATGGCTCAAGGCATCCCCCCGGCCGCAGCAATGGCTTCTTATAGGCGTTCAAGGCTGCCGTTTGACAGGCTTCAAACGCTTAAAACCCCTAAAATGCCTCGCCGGCCGTTTGCCTGCATAGCGCTCTGTCGTTAGGGCGTCCATGCCTCGGGCACGCCCGCAGGCAAAAGCCACCACAAGGCCACAGCAATGGCTCAAGGCATCCCCCCGGCCGCAGCAATGGCTTCTTATAGGCGTTCAAGGCTGCCGTTTGACAGGCTTCAAACCCTTAAAACCCCTAAAATGCCTCGCCGGCCGTTTGCCTGCATAGCGCTCTGTCGTTAGGGCGTCCATGCCTCGGGCACGCCCGCAGGCAAAAGCCACCACAAGGCCACAGCAATGGCTCAAGGCATCCCCCCGGCCGCAGCAATGGCTTCTTATAGGCGTTCAAGGCTGCCGTTTGACAGGCTTCAAACCCTTAAAACCCCTAAAATGCCTCGCCGGCCGTTTGCCTGCATAGCGCTCTGTCGTTAGGGCGTCCATGCCTCAGGCACGCCCGCAAGAAAGCCACCACAAGGCCACAGCAATGGCTCAAGGCATCCCCCCGGCCGCAGCAATGGCTTCTTATAGGCGTTCAAGGCTGCCGTTTGACAGGCTTCAAACCCTTATAAAACCTTTAAAATGCCTCGCCGGCCGTTTGCCTGCATAGCGCTCTGTCGTTAGGGCGTCCATGCCTCGGGCACGCCCGCAGGCAAAAGCCACCACAAGGCCACAGCAATGGCTCAAGGCATCCCCCCGGCCGCAGCAATGGCTTCTTATAGGCGTTCAAGGCTGCCGTTTGACAGGCTTCAAACCCTTAAAACCCTTAAAATGCCTCGCCGGCCGTTTGCCTGCATAGCGCTCTGTCGTTAGGGCGTCCATGCCTCGGGCACGCCCGCAGGCAAAAGCCACCACAAGGCCACAGCAATGGCTCAAGGCATCCCCCCGGCCGCAGCAATGGCTTCTTATAGGCGTTCAAGGCTGCCGTTTGACAGGCTTCAAACGCTTAAAACCCCTAAAATGCCTCGCCGGCCGTTTGCCTGCATAGCGCTCTGTCGTTAGGGCGTCCATGCCTCGGGCACGCCCGCAGGCAAAAGCCACCACAAGGCCATAGCAATGGCTCAAGGCATCCCCCCGGCCGCAGCAATGGCTTCTTATAGGCGTTCAAGGCTGCCGTTTGACAGGCTTCAAACGCTTAAAACCTCTAAAATGCCTCGCCGGCCGTTTGCCTGCATAGCGCTCTGTCGTTAGGGCGTCCATGCCTCGGGCACGCCCGCAGGCAAAAGCCACCACAAGGCCATAGCAATGGCTCAAGGCATCCCCCCAGCCGCAGCAGTGGCTTGTTATAGGCGTTCAAGGCTGCCGTTTGACAGGCTTCAAACCCTTAAAACCCTTAAAATGCCTCGCCGGCCGTTTGCCTGCATAGCGCTCTGTCGTTAGGGCGTCCATGCCTCGGGCACGCCCGCAGGCAAAAGCCACCACAAGGCCACAGCAATGGCTCAAGGCATCCCCCCGGCCGCAGCAATGGCTTGTTATAGGCGTTCAAGGCTGCCGTTTGACAGGCTTCAAACCCTTAAAACCCTGAAATGCCTCGCCGGCCGTTTGCGTGCATAGCGCTCTGTCGTTAGGGCGTCCATGCCTCGGGCACGCCCGCAGGCAAAAGCCACCACAAGGCCACAGCAATGGCTCAAGGCATCCCCCCGGCTGCAGCAATGGCTTCTTATAGGCGTTCAAGGCTGCCGTTTGACAGGCTTCAAATGCTTAAAACCCCTAAAATGCCTCGCCGGCCATTTGCCTGCATAGCGCTCTGTCGTTAGGGCGTCCATGCCTCGGGCACGCCCGCAGGCAAGAGCCACCACAAGGCCATAGCAATGGCTCAAGGCATCCCCCCGGCCGCAGCAATGGCTTCTTATAGGCGTTCAAGGCTGCCGTTTGACAGGCTTCAATTGCTTAAAACCCCTAAAATGCCTCGCCGGCCGTTTGCCTGCATAGCGCTCTGTCGTTAGGGCGTCCATGCCTCGGGCACGCCCGCAGGCAAAAGCCACCACAAGGCCACAGCAATGGCTCAAGGCATCCCCCCGGCCGCAGCAATGGCTTCTTATAGGCGTTCAAGGCTGCCGTTTGCCAGGCCTCAAACCTTCTTAAAACCCCCCCTAAAATGCCTCGCCGGCCGTTTGCCGCATAGCGTCGTCGTTAGGGCGTCCATGCCTCGGGCACGCCCGCAGGCAAAAGCCACCACAGGCCATAGCAATGGTGATTGCCGCAGCAATGGCTTTTATAGGAGTTCAAGGCTGCGTTGACAGGCTTCAAACGCTTAAAACCCCTAAAATGCCTCGCCGGCCGTTTGCCTGCATAGCGCTCTGTCGTTAGGGCGTCCATGCCTCGGGCACGCCCGCAGGCAAAAGCCACCACAAGGCCATAGCAATGGCTCAAGGCATCCCCCCGGCCGCAGCAATGGCTTCTTATAGGCGTTCAAGGCTGCCGTTTGACAGGCTTCAAACGCTTAAAACCCTAAAATGCCTCGCCGGCCGTTTGCCTGCATAGCGCTCTGTCGTTAGGGCGTCCATGCCTCGGGCACGCCCGCAGGCAAAGCCACCACAAGGCCACAGCAAGGCAAAAGCAGCGTCTTATAGGCGCTCAGCTCCGTTGCCAGGCCTCAAACGCTCAACCCTCCAAAAGTCCGCCCAGCTCGCACGAAAAGGTACCCCAACAAGCCCAACACGCGCCACTCCCGCACGCAAAAGCCACCACAAGGCCACAGCAATGGCTGAAGGCACCCCCCGGCCGCAGCAATGGCTTCTTATAGGTGTTCAAGTCTGCCATTTGCCAGGCCTCAAACCCTCCAAACCCTCCGAATCCCCCAAAAGTCCGCCCAACTCCGCAGGCAAAAGGTAACCCAACAAACTCAACACGCGCCACGCCCGCAGGCAAAAGCCACCACAAGGCCACAACAATGGCTCAAGGGCACCCCCCTCCCCAAGTTGATTGCTTTGACCATATCTTATTGTATGTGGATATATCATTACCATTGATGACCCCTCATCATAAAATGATTAATCATCAACAAGCTGTCAGGTAGCCAACACGGCCACTGCCTCACCCTTGCGCACCTGGCGGAGTTCGAACTGATCCGTGTCCATTTGGCCGCAGGGTGCAACTTCTCGCTGCTTGAGAAGCAAACGGCCATATGTCTGTCTTGCTGTCCGTCTCCCTCTCTCTCTCTCTACAGTACCCCCCCTCCAATTAGGGGGGTCGGCGGCACCTGGGCGCTAGCCCATTCTATATGTATACATCCATATACAAATCCATAAACCCAGCAAAAACAGCTCGACAGAGGTGACATCACCTCTCAATCCCAGAATCCATTGATGGTGGAGACAAGTCCCCGCGCTCCAGCACTGTCAGCCCCGCGGCGGCGAGTTCGTCGTCCAGTTGGGCTGGCGACATGCCGTCCTCGTAGCCTTGCTGAGGAGTGCAGGGTGGTGACGGAAATGTGTGGAACATTTGAGAATGATGGACATTTAAGAAATTGTGTGGGAAATTATTTCAAATTTAACGGAAAGAATCGTGGATAATGATGGAGCATTGATGGAAAATGATGGGAACATGATGGGAAATGCGGGAACTTATGGCAAATGATGCTGAATTGAAGGTGAATGTGAGAGGAAACTTACCGGAATTGAAGCAAAATAGGCGGAACATGCAATTTTTGATGGAACTTGAAACTTATAAAAACATGGTGTGCTGATCCCTTTGCACCTATTGAATTGCTTCATTGTGGGGCCCTTGAGCCACCATAAATTGATGGATGACTATGGCCCGGACCAACGTCACCCTGCATTTCCCTCAGGAGTTTGTGTGACATTGGGGATCTCCTAAGCCAGTACCTGTAGTTGATGAACATTTTCCCAAGGAGAACTCTCATTTTGCGGGTACGAGATGGTACGAGCTTTCCCCCCCTATTTTTGACAAACCCAATTGAATAGTGTTGGCTATATTAGTGCTATATTATACATTCCAGTGTGCCCCCCACTACATCCACAATCACACCATGTTTAATATGTGCAATTCCATGTAATTCCACCATTCCCATATGTTTCCCCAAATATGACAAGTTAAATCCCTACAGTTTTGCTGGCCAAATAAACATAAATAAGTTATATTAATCCCTACAGTATCCCTCTCTTCCTCAAGCGCCATCAGCAAAGCCCCTCATGGTGAGGAGGTGCGAAACAGACAGGCAGACATATTCAGTCCCCCTATATATATATCATATATATAATTACATTTTAATTACACACACAAAAATAATCAAAAATATATATACATACTATACTACGTCTATATAATCAATTAAGATTCTATAAACATATGTGTATTTATATATTCTTATTTATCTATTTATATTTATATATATATACTATAATGTGTATCTCTGTGTGTGTGTGTCGATATATTTCCCAACATCAATTCACCTTCCTGCTACTTCCGTAACCCCTCGACCCCTGACCCCGCCACGTCACCCAATTCCGTGCTGCGGCCCCGTGGTCGCGGCGCCGCGTCCTCGGCGGCTTTGAAGACGAGATGCAGATGGAGACCGCCAGGGCGGGTGAGGCTCGAAAGCCTCGGCTGCCAAGTGGACTGGGACCTTTTCCTGGGGGTCAAACTTGGGAGACTCCAGAATTTTGAGGGAGTTGGAGTTTCAAACCATTTCAAAACCGGAAAAAAAAGACATGAAACATGATTGATTATCATGATATGAACCATCTAACAAGAAGTGTTTTGGTGCAGTTTGTTACTGCCCAAGCCCAGCCCGCTCCTTGTTGAACCGGTAACAAGGCCAGGCAACTTGTCCAAGGTCTTGGGCAGGTCAGGTGTGAAGGTCAGCACAGAGCCACTGATGATGAGATCCAAAGTGCTGGGTGGCAGGGGGCAGTCCACCAGAATGTCACAGCCTGAAGCATGGAATGGCTGGAATGGTCCAATTCATAAGGTGGGAATATGGATGAAGATGGATTGCAATAGTATCAAGGTAGTATCGCGACAGTATCAAGATAGTATCAAGACAGTACCTAGACCTAGGTAGATAGATAGATAGATAGAAAGACAAACAAACAGATATAGACAGATACAGATAGGATTAGATAAGATTAGATAGGATTAGATAGGATTAGATAGGGTTGGATAGAGTTAGATAGGACGGATTAGATAGGGTTAGATAGGATTAAAATGGATTAGAGAGGATTAAAGAGGACAGTAGATAGGATCAGAGAGGATTAGATTGGATTGGACATGTCGATTGGATATGTAGATTGGATATTAGTTTTTTTTTCCCGTGTGCATTTTTCTTCTAGATTGGCTTAGATTGGATCTAGATTGGATTGTTCGATTAGAATATTCGATTAGATTATTTGATTAGATTGTTCGATTAGATTGGATTACAGTAGATTAGATAGACGGACCGATAGATAGAGCAGGATAGTTATCATCATTACAATGACTTATTGTCATTATCACAAGATATCTATCAATATAGCGCGCACCAGCAGGGCTGTTGCAAGTGATGCATGTGAGGAAAAAAACGCCATGGAGAGCTGCTAAGGCTAAGGAAACCGAGGTTCTCAATTCTGGTATGCCCACCCATATGTAGACCAAAACTTATCTGGTTGGTGGTTTCAACCCCTCTGAAAAAAATATTAGCCAATGGGAAGGATTATCCCATATATTATGGAAAATAAAGAATGTTTGAAACCACCAACCAGTTAAATATGTTACATCAACATAATGAACCTGCGAACCATCGGGGGTTGTTCTTGGGCTTCCCTTGGGAAAAAGTCGATCAAGGCAAGTCGCAGTAGGCCTTGACAGATTTTTCCATCTCCTTGAATTTGCTTCAAGGAAAACCCCCCAGGGAAGGCTTTCCACATTCCTATGGATTCATGGGAAATCAAAAATGTGATTTATGATGATCCCGGCCAGGTACTTCCAGAGTAAACCCGGATGTCTTGAATATGAAATCACAAAATTGCCTTTCTAATCTTTCTAGATCTTCAATCAAGATTACTCCGGCATCCCAGGTACGCATGATGAAAGAAACAATGTCTGAAAAGAAAATGTGCATAACTCACCAGACAGCTGTCAGCTGCAGCCCATTCTTCAAAACACCACGATAATCACAAGAATCACAAATCACCGAGTCAACAACAACCTACAGAAGAAGGATAACATCAAAATAAACCATATACCGTAATACATCATCAAAATCCCCCCTCGATGCCCCAAATGGATCCAAATTGTGGATTCACATGGGCTACCATCCTCCCATCTAAGGTAGACCCTGCCAGGGGGACCAATAGCCATGGATCAATGCCATAGTACCTCTCAAAAAGAATGGTATCATTATGCAGATTTTAGGATTTGACCCATTCCCCCATGAGGAAATAGCATGAAATCACAAAAATATACAAAAATGAATTTGTCCAAAAACCATGTACCCCGGAATCTTGTGGTTAATCATTTTCCCAACTAAAATTATCATACATTCGGGGTATACTATGTATACCCAATTTTCAAAGCAAATCCAGGATGCCACACCCAATTGACAAAAAGACACGTTGCATCCCCATGACCAACCCCCATGTTTTCCATTGTTTTCCCTAGTGAAATCACCATCAAAATCGTGGTAAATCACTCAGCGTCCTTCGCTGCGATCTTCTCCTTGGCCTGCGCCACCATCTTCGGCGCGACATCCACCAGGGTCACATTGGCTCCGCTCTCGGCCAGAGCTAGGCCCAGCACGCCGTGACCGGCACCAAACTCCAAGATGTCCTTTCCTGGGCGGGAAAACCTTGAGATTGGTTTGCCGATAGGGATTGCTGTGGAACACCACGCCAAACTCATAAAAGCGCCCATTGATACACAAGGTTAATAAGTGAAAAACTCAAGTGACTATATAAGTGAAAAAGCCTTCAACATATCATCTCAACCGTTTTTACCTTATAAATCCTTATAAATCTATGTAAAACCTTTATGGGTCTGTCTGAAAACGGGATATTCCATTCCATCCATTGGTTAATCATCGGTTCATTTCGATAGTGTTTACGGCATACCAGGCATACCCCATTTTCAAACAAACCCAACTTATCCCAATTATCATATTGTTATCCTCACTATATCACCATGGTTTCCTAGTAAAAATGGTAAATCATGGCATTCCAGTGCCAAAAATGTCAGAGTTACGCCATGCGCCACGTGGCCAGCCAGTTCCGGCACCTTGGACCGGACCAGCTCTTCCACCAAGACGTTGAACTCGAGCACGCAGGTGCCCATCCTTGGATCTGGACAAAAAACGCCACCGATTTGTTGGACCATGAGTTTACCATGAAAAGTAGGAGCGTTCTGCAGATTAATCATGATTATATAATCCATTAAAACAATTCAGGGGCATATATAAATATATACATACATATATGTACATATAATATATGTATAAATTTATATGTACATGCAGAACATACATACATACATACATACGTACGTACATACGTACGTACGTACGTACGTACGTACATACATACATACATACATTACATACATAGTGCAGGTACAGATACAATAACAGAGACAGACAGAGGACAGGGACAGATACAGGAACATATACATACATATACATACATATACATACATATACATACATATACATACATATACATACATATACATACATATACATACATATACATACATATACATACATATACATACATATACATACATATACAAACATATACAAACATATACAAACATATACATACATATACATACATACATACATACATACATACATACATACATACATACATACATACATACATACATACATACATACATTACATACATTACATACATTACATACATTACATACATTACTTACATACATACATACATACACACATACATACATACATACATACATACATACATACATACATACATACATACATACATACATACATACATACATACATACATACATACATACATACATCTACATACATACACATACATACACATACATACACATACAAACACATACATACATTCACATACATACATATACATACATACATACATATACATACATACACATACATACACATACATACACATACAAACACATACATACATATACATACATTACATACACATACATACATTACATACATTACATGCATATACATACATTACATACATTACATACATTACTTACATTACATACATTACATGCACTACATACATTACATACATTACATTACATTACATTACATTACATTATTACATTACATTACATTACATTATGTTACATTACATTACATTACATAACATTTACATACACATACATACCGTACAAGTACAGTATGTGTTATTATTGGGAGTTTCATCACCGCAAAAAATTGGGATTATGGGGACATTCTGATATATGGGGACGGGTCAGACCTGGAAAGATACCCCATGAATGTGGATATGGACATCCATAAACACAAGGCATAGCAACTAGGGCACAACCCGTGTCACCAGCGAAATTTCCATGAGTCATCTTTCTTTATAGCCGCCTCTGCCGCCAAGTGGTTTCAGCTAAAGACTTGAGGAAGTCCTTTTTCTGCGTAGGTCATTTTCAATGGTGTGCATTTGCACGCGACGTTCTTTGATTTTTGTAGGCTTACCAACAATGCGACCCCATTTTTGAGGAAAGACCATGTCCTATCCAAGCTCTGGGTTCCAGCCGTCACATGTCCTTCAGTGAAAGCAATTCAATCATCTAGCAGAGCACTGACGTGCACGCCGGTAAAAAACAAAAACTGACCAAGTCCAACAAGTAACAAAGGAAGGACGCCACAACCACGAGAAGGAGTTTCTATCTTCTGACCCGCTGAACCGATCTAAGGAGAAGACACGCAATCAACCGAATTTCGCAACAACAAAAAAACAACCATCAGAACGACGTTACAAACGGCACATACAAACGCATACAAAGCACAGTGTAAACGTAGGCATAGAAACGTAGAAGAAGGTAAACAAACAACGGGATGCACAGACACAATGCCCAGTGGAACCATACACAAGCAAAAACTCGCACATGTTGGAAGCCACATCATAACAATAGCTCTCTCTCGTCATGATCGGCAATTCACTGGCAGGTCGACTGCCTTTAAAAATGTTAAATGCAAACGTTTTGGATAGGAAAACTCCAAAATCACCCCAATTACTGCAATAAATAAATCTGAAATGGGGAAAAATGGGGGACGGCGCCTCACTTGCGCACACAAAATTGACTCAGAGCCTTCGGGGGATGGGGTGGGGCTCGTTAACGTCATTATATTTCTTGCTGTCCTGCAGACACAGGCACTGCTCTTTCATGATCAGTTACCATGATCAGTTACCAGTGGGTTGGGGTGGGGTGGGGTAATAACGTTCATGTTCCTGTGCACACACAGGCACAGCAACCTTATCACCTTTCTTGCTGTCCAGACACAGGCACTGCTCATTCATGATCAGTTACCGGTGAGGTGGGGTGGGGTGGGGTGGGGCGGGGCAAGTGGTAATAACGTTCAGGTTCCTGGTGCACACCAAGGCACAGCAAAAACCGTATCATCTTCTTGCTGTCCGCAGACACAGGCACTGCTCATTCATGATAGTTACAACGGTAGGTGGGGTGGGGTGGGGCAGGAGTAATGGGTAATAACGTTTAATGTTCCTGTGCACACACAGGCACAAGCAACCTTATCATTTTCTTGCTGTCCAGGGACACAGACATGCTCATTCATGATCATTAACGGGGGGTGGGGTGGGGTGGGGTGGGGTAATAATGTTCCTGTTCCTGTGCACACAACAGGCACGGCACCCTCTCATCTTTCTTGCTGTCCAAGCAGACACAGCCTGCTCATTCATGATCAGTTACCGGTGGGGTGGGGCTGGCGGTGGTGGGGCGGGGTAATAACGTAAATGAAGCACTCCGGAAAATGAACGCCGGCTCAACAGCTACAAATCTAGTCGCGGTCGCGCCGTTTTATATTTACCTAACGTGAGGCTATCGCTTCGGTATCTAAAACCAATATATCAACCGTCGCGTTATATATATATCAAAAGTGCAAAATGACTGACATGAAAACACAGCACAGCTGAAATCCAAGGACATCACTGCAGAGACCGCGTGGGGAGAGTAGTAGGGAAACCGAAGAAAAAGAGCCGAAACACGCAATAGGGCCAATACCGGACCACCGCACGTTTCTTACTTACAAGCACACAGTCGCAACGGGTCGCGAATGCATCATCATCATCATCATCATCATCATCATCATCATCACCACCAGCATAATCATCATCATCACCACCACCATCATCATCGTCATCAATCGTCATCGTCATCGTCGTCATCGTCATCATCGTCATCATCATCATCATCATCGTCATCATCATCATCATCATCACCACCGTCATCACCATCATCATCAGCATCATCACCATCATCACCATAATCATCATCATCTTCTTCTTCTTTTTCTTCTTCATCATCATCATCTTCTTCTTTTTCTTCTTCATCATCATCATCATCATCATCACCGTCATCACCATCATAAGAACACCAGCATCCGCGTGCACAACTGAGTTGGTTTCTCGCGTGTACAGCCGAGTCGGGTTTCGCGTGTACAACCGAGGCACCATCCAAAAATGGTTCAAACCTGCACAAAATGTCACGAAATGGCGATGTCGTCCATTTAGAGATATCAAACTAGAAAACATCCATAGACGGATGTGTTTGAGACTAGGATCAAACGAACATAAAATCCGAACATCATCAATAGATATCAATGGATTTCAAGCAGCCGAGCGATGGATTTGCGTGAAATATGTATGCATAGGCTTTGCTGCATAGGTTTGATTGCTGTGGTATATGACACACAAATATATATACAACACGCAAGCACATAAAATGTCTATGATTTAAGATGTACCACCATCCGATCCCCAGAACCAATTGCAGAAACAAACATGGATCCTGAGAATCACTAATTTCTGGAAGCGTCTCTCCACTTGTCCAGCCGTCAGCCATGTCATCCCATTCTTTGGCCACCTGTGTCGCCGTGCAACTCGCTGTGTTTTGCTGTGCTTTTGATGCTTCCAGAGATACCCTCTGGTAAACTGTCACATAACGATGGAAAATCACCATGTTTAATGGGAAAACTCACTATGCATGGCCATTTTTTTAATAGCAAACTGTTAGTTTACCAGATATTCCAACACACACTGTCAAGATCTTTTTGGGACCAGCCACATCCGCGATAGTCTTGGCTTTCTCATCCGCCATGACGGCCATGGCAAGACACCAGCTGAAAAGTAGCAGCACTGCCCTGTGCCACCAGCGCCTGTAGAGATTTCTGGGGCGAACCACATACCATGGAACCCTGGCGCTCAACATAATGGGCATACTCATTACTGGTTGGTGGTTTCAACCCCTCTGAAAAATGATGGAGTTCGTCAGTTGGGATGATTGTTCCCAATAATATGGAAAAATAAAAAAAATGTTCCAAACCACCAACCAGATTATCATAATCATCCAACCCCTTCAGATTCACTGCTTGAGCCCAGAAACCCACAGCCCCCTGGGAAATCACTAACACCCTTCTCCCGGTACATCCTGGCAATGGAAATTTCATGGTAGACTTCAGCTGCCGTTTCCCTGGCTGATCAGCCACTTAGCCACATTTGGTCTCACCAGAAACAAAGCCATCCAAAGTCATGCTGTCAGAACAACACCTTGAAGCTTTCGGCAACTTCAAGCAATCTGAATAATGTTGGCTACTGATTTGTGTGGGCCCCCCCCAACAATTTTAGGCTACTCAATAAATCGACATTTTAAACGCCCCCCCCCAACAATTTTTAGGATAGTCAACTTAAGTAAGGATTTCAATTGACATCAATCTACTTTCAGTTGATCTTTCTTTTAAACCTCAAAACATCTATTGATAAGAAAGGATTTCAATTGAAATCAATTTGCGTTCAATTCATTTGAATCTACGTTCAACTGATTTTCCTTCTAAACCTTGAAGAAATCTATTGATAAGAAAGGATTTCAATTGAAATCGATCTACGTTCAATTGCTTTTCCTTCTAAACCTCAAAGAAATCTATTGATAAGAAAGGACCAGCTTTAAATGGCTTTTAAAATCTTTTAAATCTATATTATATAAACCTTTCAATATGGCTTTCTAAAGCAAATGGACCAGCTTTACCAAAAGAATGGTGGATAAAAGGTTTTGTGTTTTTTCACCCCAAAAGTTTGTGCACAATAGGGTACCATCGAAACAATTACATTATTGAGGATCTGGGTCACTCATGGGGTACCCCCTTGAAAAATTGTTTGGGTGCTGTTTTTAAATAAGGGTTTAATAAGCATCTAATAAGTTGAGAAACCTTGCATTTTCAAGGCTTTAACATGGATATGGCTTTCTAAAGTAAATGGACAAGTTTTCCCAAAGAAAGGTGTATAAAGGTGGATAAAGTTCCTCCTGAAAAAATTGGATCTGAGAAAAAACTTTCCCCAATAGAGCCCCACCCCCACCATCCACAAAGTACTCAATTATTTCCGGAAAAAAATCCACAATAGAGGGCCATCACACTAATCGGTATCCAACATTGTATCTCAATACTCTCCAATACACTGAATGCCATCGTTAATGACGTAGATTAAAAACTCTCCAACACTCATTCGAGGAGGGCAAAACTCAGCTATGGCTTGATGGCAATTTTTTCCTTCGCTGGTCTTCAGCGAGGGTCGCAGCTGCTGGGGAGTCCGGGGATGTTTCAGCATCTGAGTGACCTTCTAAGCGTGGAATGATTTTATACTCCAAGAGTCTGGGCTAGTAAGAGCTGATGTGCCGCAATATGCCGCAATCTTCCGTCAGGCCGTACTTGGAAGCCAACAAAATAGATGGGCTGCTGGTTTCTCGACATGGTTTACATTGTGATTTCATGATCCATCGAATAGATCTCAATAACTTCTTGCGGGACACATCCTAAACTCAGGAATCCTTTGGAACCACCAACCATTTCAACCAGCTTTACAGTGAGCCCAAAGATGACCATGACGGGCGACCAGATGCCACACATTCATGTCCAGATATGTCCCAAGATGGGAGCAGGGGACTAATCACCGGTTTCTTTCATGAGAAGACCATTGGGCTCATCATTACTGGGGATGGCATGTAGATGCATGATGATGCATGTAGATCATGTAGCAAACGATTTGAAACTGCCAACCAACCATTGGATGGAAGATGTTGCGCCCCATATCAACACTTTCCAAATTTTGCGCGTGTGACAGGAAGGATCAGGAAGGCCACTAAAGTGATGGTTCCATGCGGCTAAGCGGAAGTGGTTTTCTACTATCATCAACGGGAATTCCAGGATCCTAAAATGGAGGTACTGCACCATATAACGCCATATTTTGGGGGTATATCCCCTTACATAGCCCTTACATTGGTTCCTGAAATGGCCATTGATATATATATATATATCTGGTTGGTGGTTTTAACCATCTTGAAAAATATGAAAGTCAATGGGAAGGATGACATCCCATATATATATATATCCATATATTCTGGAAAATAAAAGTCATGTTTGAAACCACCAACCAGATATTGATATCACCAGTACTTCAAACATCTTCAAACCAAGTCAGACTTCGTCTCACGGTGACCTCCGGCAGGGGTAGGAGCCGTTTTTTGGACAACTCGTTCGATAACGCAGCGAGACAAGATGGATGTGACAAGATCTGATAACGCAGTTTTTAACCCATCCATATTGGGGATTCGGGATTGTTATCTATTATTATATATTGTTATCATTATCCATTATATACCTTGATATATACCCATCATATACAGTATATACAGTAACCCATGATCTTTTTCCAAAAATCAACTGACACTTTCTGATCACTCTGATGTCTGCATCGTCCCGCCCGTGCCATCACTCCCTCGACTGGTGACATGACGTCATCACGGAAGTATCACTACCGTCACCCAGGAAGTTGCCCTTTGATGCTAAATGATGTTAATGAGTGCATGGATTTTCTGCTGCTGTTGCTCTATATATATATACATATATATATATATGTATGTATGTAATTATCTATACACATACTCTCGTCGTGGCTGTTCCTATCTTCTCCTTCATCTTCATTTTCTTCTTCTTCCTGTGACTCTGCTTGGTGTGTTGCTGCAATTAATTATTCTTGGACTCACTGCTTGATGAAGAATCGACTTTGTTTGATTGATGTGCTGGTGTTCGACCAATGACAATCAAACAAACATATTTCATAGGAGGCCTGGGAGGCCTGCAAGATCGAGGCAAACCTCACAAAACAAAAATGTTGGCCGCTTTTGATGTTTTTTTTGAGTACAAATAATCCCATAACCAGTTGTCATATCCTGATGAAAATTGCTTTTCTTGTTTCACCTAAAAGTTAATGAACACTGAACACGTAACTTATATATAACGGTCATAAGTCGTGTGCCTTCGTACACCATCCAGATCCATCCAGCACTCGGCAACTTCACAGGCACTCGGAGACGGAAAACGATGACCGCTGCGATGCGAAACTTGGACCGGGATGGCCACGAGGTCGTGGCAATGAAACATCCTCTAGCTCTAGTTATAATAATCATTAATAATTAATCATTAATAATCTATATATCTATAATGTGGGTAAAACAATGCCATAAACATCCATTTGCACCATCCCCCAGTCATCACCATTTTTAGAGGTGGTATGGTTACCATTCCCAGCCAAGGGTTTATGGCATTGTTTTACCCACATCAGATGATTTTCCCAGCTAGAAACCTCCAGTTCGAAGGGAATATTCCGTTGCCACGTTTCAATACATTCAGCTGATGGCGATGGTACAGAAAGGCACATCCCAGTACAAGTTGAAGTTGTACAGACACCTCATCCACGAACAGCCTTTGTTCTTCATCTGGGTGGCACTCCCACGATGTGTAAGGAAGTGATCATTGATGACATCAGATGTCGATGCATGTTCTCGTTTGGTTCATGACTGTTCTCTTTACCGGGCTTGGCAAAGAGGGCAAGGTTACGGCACGGAACAAATTACAACGCCCTACACCGCAGCCCCAAAACTGGATATTAACCATGAATTGCTGCTGTTGCTTCCATCAAATCAAGCCCTGACAGGGCAGAGCCACTGCCTTTCCAACCTCACTTCCAGCACTGTGGGAGGCTCCCCGGGTAGTTCGGCTGCGCCAAAACAGTCTTGCGGCCGAAAAAAAAAGGCCCCAGCCGTTTTGAGGCGCCGTTGCTTGGGAAGTTGGGCCACATGCGGAAGACTTCCAAACAATCAAGTTTGGGTCTTTAGAGTCAAACTGTCAAATTGGAATTCGAAAACAAAGAATGTAGCATCAACTGATATATCTGATATCAATTGTACGAGTGGGATCGATGTTGGTTGGCCCCAGATCTTTCGGTGTTCTCCTTTCATCTCTTTTCCACGGCTCGCCTCGCTCGCGCTTCATCCTTCAGAAGACATACTGCGGCCCTGCTTTCACTGGATCCGTCTCGAAACGGTTGATGTGGGTATTCAAGAGCCGGGTGCAAACCATCACTTGCCTGCAGAGATCATCCAACATCCCCAACCTCCCTGGAATACACCCATGGCCTTGGAGGCTGTTGGGAAACCTGGCTTCTCCTAGGAATACCTTGTGTTTCATAAAACACAGTCGTCTGCTGTAATATATGTAATCGTTCACATTGTCTGTTGTCTTCCGAAATCGTGGCTCAAATCTCAAATCCCCCAATCTGGTTAGAACCTAACATCGACGCCAAAAAAGATTATTTCCGGTAGGAAATCACCTTCCAAACCATTCCAGATCCCATCAACTTGGTGTTCCAGATCTTGGTGTTCAGTCCGGTACCCAGTGCAAACCATCTGGATGAGTTCTGAACCGTGACGTCCCGGTAAGGTCGTGATTTATGGGATGAAATTTATCCAGGTCCCAAAAATACCCCCTGGTAATTTAACAGGTTGCTATATGGAAAGATCACCATTTTCAATGGGTAAATCCACTATAAATGGCCATGTTCAATAGCTATGTTAGTTTACCAAATGGTAATTGTTGATTTAGGGTTTTCTTAAACATCAAGTCACAGTCTAAATCAATCTAATCCGTTGGAATCCCCAAAACATATCCAAATTTCAGCCGTTGCCCCCAGCAAATGCCTTCTCCAGTCATCATAGGCAACCTGGCATACACATCCAAGAAGTATTTGCAGCCCTCAGTCGTAATCCGAGATAGTGTGGCCAAGGGATCTTCCTAACATTTCCTAACCTTTTCCATATTCTATGAATATGTTTGTTGATTGGCTCCATGTATCCATGTTTCCCGTTGCCACGTCTGCCACGTTTCCTCGCGGAGATTTAATCATTTTAGATAGTCAAACGGTCAAACGCCTTGAATGGTGATTCTGATAGGCCATGCAGCTGCAATAGCCAGAAACAGCGGGTACCAGCCATGAAGCCCCCACAAGGCCTTCTCTTCTTTCAACCTGTCCTGGTCACAAAGAAATAGGGGCAATGGCCAACTCAGGTTCCACATTCTTGGATGGGGCAGTTTCTGTCTGCATTACATTTGCAACTACCCAAATTTCCATTCACCACCCCTTAGAAAATCACCAGTGTTGCCACCATCACCACTGTTATCACCTGGGGTGGGATCATTAGGACCATTACCCATGCCATGCCGCCATGCCCCATTCGGAAATGATCTACCCTCTGGTAATTTAACATAGCTATTGAACATGGCCATTTATAGTGGATTTTCCCATTAAAAATGGTGATTTTCAATAATTAGCTATGTTAAATTACCAGAGGGTAATTACATTCTTGGCCGGTTTTTTCGACAAATGTTACTTTCCTGGTTGACTGGAGGGTAAATTCTGGTAATCCAATCCGCTGAAAATCACCCATGGTTCGATCACTTTCCGAGCTACAAACCTCCATGGTCAGTTCGGGGATTTCAGAGCTAGTTAGGTTTGATGACACCAAATGGATCCAAATGGTTATCCTCTTGAATCATTCTTAAATCCAGTTAATTTCACATCATGCAAAGCCATTTAAAACACAACGAATCCCAATATCATCACATTGAAAACCGATTGCAGCGTTGCGGCGTTGCTCGTGCCTGCTCTTCCTTGCTGAGCACCTTCTGCTCGCTGACCTCTTTGATAGCATCCCACGTCGCCACCTCGGCGATGGGGTTCATTTAAATATATCACACACACATATAATATATATATATACCTTGACTGTCCAACGACCCTTAATTTTTGGTGTCTTTCAAGAAAAATTGCATTTCTCTTCCGATAGTTTTTTTTAAATTAAGTACTGTTTCTTGCATGTTGGTGATGGTCACTCATGGAGCTGCGCTAAAGCTGTGGAAATCAAGAAATGCACCACATTGCCAACTTGAAACTCATTGTTGCAGGTGCCATTTTTATTTTGGATAATTGAAGGTGCAGGAGAAAAGATGTTCAAAGCATTGGTTCTCGTTTATGTGTTTGATGCCACGGTTTCGATCTTCCTTGCTTTGATTCTTGGGCGTGCTTTGCTCTTTCATTTTTGCACGCATGAGGGTAGGTCTCAACACTCAATTGCGGACATGCGAGTGCATGGATCAATTTTGGTGACAAATATTTCTGGGAAGATTAGCCCAGACAATGCAAACATGCAAAGGCCTTTTTTTCTTCAAACGTACCTTTTTTTGCTGAAGGCCATCCGGACGGCGTCCGAAAGTACGCACAAATGCGTCCAAAGTACGGAAATATCTATCCAGTTTGGACCCGTCCGAAGCAAAGGTTAAAAAAAAAAAAACGCACCCTTTTTTCCCCGTCCATCTGTCAAAAGTTTCAGTCATACGCCATACGCCTGGGTCTGAGATGATGTGTGAGGGTGCGGGATCCAACATCAGGCAGGACAAGCACAAAACGTTCACATGATTCAGTTTAGTAATGCTTAGTATATAGCCAGCACATTCTTGGAAAATATAAAACATTTTGTTTCATGAAACGACCCCAAAAAGTATCAAACGTACCCCCATGTACCCCCCCAAAAAAAGATGCGTTTTGCAAACGACCCCAAAAATGAAGGGTAGTGGAGACCCCAGGCATAAATATATGTAGTGTAATGATTGTGCAATGTATATGTACTGTAATGTAGTGCAATGTACTGTAATGTAAATGTACGATCAACTCCCACCATTTGCCCCGCGTCTGAAAGAAATCGACGGGGTCGTCGTCGTCGTCATCATCATCTTCATCTTCATCATCATCGTCATCATCCTCATCATCCTCATCATCCTCATCCTCATCATCCTCATCATCCTCATCATCCTCATCATCCTCATCATCCTCATCATCCTCATCCTCCTCATCCTCATCATCCTCATCATCCTCATCATCCATCCTCATCATCATCATCATCCTCATCATCCTCATCATCCTCATCCTCATCATCCTCATCATCCTCATCATCCTCATCATCCTCATCATCCTCATCCTCCTCATCCTCATCATCCTCATCATCCTCATCATCCATCCTCATCATCATCATCATCATCATCATCATCATCATCACCACATCATCATCATCATCATCATCATCATCATATTATACATCATATACATCATATACATCATATACATCATATACATCATATACATCATATACATCATATACATCATATACATCATATACATCATATACATCATATACATCATATACATCATCCTCATTATCATCAACATCCTCATCATCCTCATCCTCATCATCATCATCATACACAGTACAAAATCATCATGTATCAGCATATATGTAATATCATATAATCATACAATATCATATACAGTACCAACGTCATGGGGGTGCTGCATCGTGATCTTGTGCACAGCATCAAAGTCTTGCGCAAGGTCGAGTGAGCGTTATCTCCCCCCCCCCCCGTCGCACTCCACCCCGCCCCACCCTGAACTGTGTGTGAGTGTGTGCGTGTGTGTGTGTGACATACGCTTCCATAATCTTATCCCCAGATCATCACAGATCGTAATAAGCAACCATTATCATAACATATCATAAAAATGACAACCATTTATCGTATAGGTTTCACCGCAAAATGACACTGGCTCTGAGGCATCCACAGCAGCCTTTCGATGGGCAGTGCTCCGTGGCTTTATGGAACTGGAGTCCTGGGGCAAAGGCCGTAGCTTGCCCGGTTCCCATTTCTTCCTAGGAAATAAGAAAGGGAATCCTTACGATGGCTGGCTTTTTTGGCGCTTTTTCATCTTCTCCCAAACTGGGAGCGGTGGGTTCCATTTAGATCCGGGCAAGCCCATCAGCTTGGAGATGATCAGGGTTTCAATCGCTTGCGACCCTTGCTACTGGCGTTCCCAGAATCTGTTTGATACAGTAGCAACCTGTGGTGACGATTCTTGACCATTGAGAACTTCAGTACGTAGATGAGAAACCTATGACTGACGAAATCTGATGGCGATGAACAATGGATGATAATGGTGAATGCTTCACATTGCCTAACTGTATGATAAATGATGATAGATGACGATTTTTTGGCTCTGGTGGTTGTGGTGTCCCTTGCTGACTATCTACATAATGGATGGAATGTATTGGAAAGGCGTGCCAGCTAGGCTACCGTTGTAATAGAGTTCGCATCTACAATTTGAATCTTTTGCTTTCACCATCGTCAATTCGGATGACCTTCCCCAAGTAAGGGTGACAGCAAAGCAAACCTCTCGTCAACCTGCAAACCGACAAAATTGACAAACAAGGTAGCGAAAACCTGACAAACTGTCTTCGTTTTTGTCCCTTTGACTCTCAATCCTGGATGTTCAAGTCAGCCCAGGATTAATAAGACCCAATTTAAATCAATTTATATGGGGGTTCTTCAAAATTGTGATACCCCAAAACTGCCCTTACGCCGCCCTTTCGCGAACCTTTCGCGCCCTTTCGCGCTCCAGCAGAATCGGGACAGGGAATTATGATCATGTTTTCGTGTGTGTATTTCGGAATAAAGATTTACAGGAGGATTGTATTAAAGCAAGGAAGATAAGGAAATGGGAGTATTCGCCTAAGTCGTTTTACAGATTGCCCGACAACGGAAACACAAGTTGAATCGCCTTTCGCCAACCTTTCGCAAACCTTCCGCGAACCTTTCGCAGATTTCTCGCCTATAAAAATGTGTTTCAAACTCATGTTTCATGAGAGGATGGGCGGGTGTTTCAGTTCCAATACTAAAACCCATTCCTATCTGAGAAAACTCCCAAAATTATTGTTCAATGATTGCATGAATGCAACTGTAACTGCCAAGCATGAATACTATATCGCATACATCTAGTCTAATAGGTGTATTCAAACCTTTCGCGAACCTTTCACCGCCCTGTCGCGGTCTTTCGCCACTGCAGCAAAAATACACATCCATATCTGCAGATGTCACTCGGATACTCTTGGAGTCTTGGGTTTTAGAACGAGTCCCATAATTCCCATGTAGTAAAACCATTGTTTTCCCAGGCAATCCTATATCAAACGGGGGGGTTCACTCCGGGGTAGCCATGTCCCCATGTCCGCAGTCCCGTCGTGGCGGCAGCGGCATCGTTGATTGAATGCCAGCGAGTCGTGGATCCAACGGGGGAGGAAGCAACACGTCCTGAGGGGTTGGTGGTTTTCCTTGGTGGTTGCTACAGGATGGTGACCACTTATGTCCGTTGGTTTCTAAACCCCATCCACTACAGTTATCACATGTTACCACTACAATTTGATTATAGTTAAGCCACTTAATTATAACTTATATCTCAACTAAGCTATCTTTGGGGCCCAATCCTGTAGTGTAGCTGGAAATTGAACCACTTGGCATTTGGATGATTTACCCTGAAAGAAATATTAAAAATGAGGATTTCACTGGAGAAAATGCTGATATCATGAGGATATTCCTGAATCAATTGCAAGGTGACTCCCCACAATAGTCTTTGGGTGTATGTCTAGGGCGAATCTTCACCTGCTGACCTGGGGGGAGTCACTGACCTGGGGGGAGCTGCATCAAGGAGGTTCATCCCTCAGATGGCCCCAATGATCCCATAGTCCTAAGATCGCTGCATGCAAAACTGGTGCCACTTTCCATCTAAGATTTCCCAGAAATCCATCCATTCATCATCATCAAAGTCAACCAGCCTCACCAAAGGTGGCCATCCCAATACGTAATAGAGGCTTACCAGTTCACACGCCCTTAAATCCATGGATGTTGGTGGTTAACAAACCCTTAATAAACCATTCTTATTGCGGGGGTTGGCATCGGTTCTTTGCGAAATGCTGCGCTGTACAACTGAGGTCTTGTGAAGACGATTCCATATTTTTCCATAGTTTTCCCTAAGTTGCATCCCTTTTTTGAATATGTTCCATATGTTCCATGTTTGTTTCCCTTGTGTTTTCCATGGGTGTTCCATATTTTTCCCACCCCCAGCTACCCAGGACTGCACCTCATCTGAAATCTGGTAGCGGTCTCTTTGCTCCACCTCGAGCAAAAATGGCATCCGGATTTAGGGGAGCAAAGGATCGGAAGCATTAGGATGAAATTGGCGGGGAAAAAAAGGATATGATATGATATGATAATGATAATGATAATGATAATGATAATGATAATGATAATGATATGATGCATATTTCTTTCATTGTTTAGATATTATATATATGCTGTGTTATGAATATATATATATAGAGCGTTAAATATATATATATACATGTGATGTGTATATATATATATATATGTATATATATTGTGTATTATACAAATAATTATACCCTCCTGCAATCAAACGTGGCTGGCTGGAAAATCCCCTATATAAATGGAGGTTTTAATGGGCAAGTGATCTATAAATAAGGGATTATGGGGGATGTTCAATCGCCGCGTCTCCACGTTTGATGAGCGGATGGTGTAAATAAATAATATGTATACTATTTATAAAATAATTATATCTTTGCCGGGATTATATTATATGATACAATAATTAATGAATTATGTGTATATATACACTGTATATATTCATATACAACTACTATAGTATATCATAGTATTGTCAAGTGATGCTACATAGAATTTCAGCCAGTGATAGCACGTGATAGCGATTGGATGGATATGCTTCGGATATGTTGAAGAGTGTGTGCAGCCACCCCAATTTGGTGGGGGCAGTAGCTGGTGATGGGGGATGATGGGGGTGCATACCCCGGATCTGAGAACGGGACTCTTGGAGAGGGAAACACACCAAGAATCCATGGAATGGAGTCGAATGGAGCCTTGACTTTCTGTTGCTCTTCCCTTGCCCCCTTCCTCACTCAATTCCTCAAGATATGTTTTAAAAATTTTTAAAATCGTTCAAAGTTTAAATGTGTTTTTTTATCTATCCATTTTTTGTGACCAGCCCCTTTGAATGTACTGGCACCCCCTTGGCATTTCCCTCATTCCCAGTACAACGTGCAGCATCAGACACTGTGTCTTCTCGTATTTTGCGCTGCTCCACTTGCTGCAAATGGGACTCAGCGCCGAAGGTTCGAGTTTTGGTGCTTCATGGTGCTTCAATGTGCTTCATAAATGTCCTCATAACCTACTGTAGCTGCAATCTCTGAGATATTCTGAGATGCTACCTTACCATCTGGCCTGCAGCTTGATTATAAATATCAATCGAGAAGAGGTCCTTATAGTTCCTTTCGGGTGTTTTTTCTGCTCCACACTCGCGTTGTCATAAATTGGGAAGCGTTCCTGCAAGTCTGAAACTTGGCAAGCCAAGCAACTGATCCGATCCAATCCATGGATCAATTCATCAACTCAATAAATTGGGAATAGTTACCCTCTGGTAATTTAACATAGCTATTGAACATGGCAATTTATAGTGAGTTTTCCCATTAAAAATGGTGATTTTCAATAGTTATGTTAGTTTACCAAAGGGTACCTCCAAACGAATCAACCACCCCCATCAACCCATGGATCCAACTCGGCATCCCAGAAACGATGCGTCTGGATGTTGGGAGCCTTCCCAAATTCGGCGGCTCCATGTGTCCAAAGTACACCCCAGGAAGTACCTGGCCAGTGCTTTTTGGCACTGACTTGCGAGGCGAATTTGAAATGTCTAAAGTAGATTAATATCAATACCATGTAAAGTAAGTATGTAATCTCTAATATGGAATGTGTACACTATCTGTCTGTCTGTCTGTCTATCTATCTGTCTGTCTGTCTATCTATCTGTCTATCTATCTATCTATTTATCTATCTACCTATCTACATATCTATCTACCTATCTATCTATCCATCTATCTATCTATCTACATATAATATACATATAATATACATATAATAAACATATAATAAACATATAATATACATATAATATACATATAATATACATATAGTATACATATAGTATATATATAATATACATATAATATACATATAATATACATATAGTATACATATAGTGTATATATATAATATACATATAATATACATATAATATACATATGATATACATATAATTATACTGTGCCAGCAAATAATATGCTAAAGCATCTGAAAACCATCAAACATTACACACATACATCTGTGGGTCCCAGAAATTTCGAGGAACCGCATGTTTCGACATATCTGCCTCCCCTAAATGTCATTGACACCCCAAGAAAATAGGAAAATCAATGGTTCATGTTAGTTAATAGTAAATTCATATCATTACCAGTACCTTCCAAAAAAATATCAAAAAGAATCGATGGAAACCCAGGAAACCAATCTTCAGAAACCCATGGTACCCCCCAAAAAAAACAGATCGCCTGGGTTGGCATATTCATCTCCTCCTCTTCTCGAAGCACAGCTTGTTGCGCTGCAGCCGCAAACCTGGCCTTGGTGGAACCATGGAAAAATGATAGAATTTATGGTAAAATGATGGAAAAGGTGGAAACAAAAAATGGGAAACACGAGGATTTCCCTCACCCAAAAATCAGGACTTCAACACCACAATCTCGGATTTCAGCAGTAAACAACTCGGATTTAGACCACCAAGAAACCAAGGATCAACAAAAATGTGCAGTTGGTCACTTGGGGATATCAAGTTCCGAGAATCTAGAAATGGAAATACATGAGCAGCAAATGTTTGACACCACCAACCAGTCGGGATTGGTTATAAACCATGAGCACACATGCGTGCACAGAAGCCTGTGAACTGTTGGATGGATGAGATGTAATTAATAACATATGAGGTCCTAGCAAGGCACAAAAATTCAGTCTTGTGAAGCATATGAGGGTCATATGCCTACTCCCTGATCCTTGCAAGATATCATGATATCGATCAACCCCCGGCTGCATCCAGTTTTTTTTCAAGTCGATGCTGTTGTTTCAGGCTTGTGCTGTTCTCAGGATCCTCCGAGGCGACATTTGAAGTTGGCCTTTTCCCCTGGCAGGGGCGGTCGGCTGCCGAGGCAGCTGAGATTCCACATGGATCCCTCTGGAGACTGAGAGATCAGCTGCGTCAGTCGCTCCTCTCGCGCCCGGGCGGCCTCAACGGCCCATTGGACGCTGCGGCGCTGCCTGTGCTTTGCGCAAGCTGCCCTTAAAAAGTGGTTTATTGGTTGATTTCTAGTTAGTCGAGTCTATATAGTGAATATATGATGTTAATATATGTTAATAGTTGTCCAATCATTATTGATCAGTCAATGTTACAATATGTTACAATGTTTTGGGGAAATGAGGGAAACAAAATTTGAAAGCACCAGCCAGTTGCTGGTTGTAGCTGGTCTCGTACGCTCTCATCAATGCCTCTGGGTCAATGCGACTTTTTCGAGGCAAGGATTGTAGGGGGGCCAACATCCGGCCAAGATGGGGAACGATGGGCCTTGGATTTGATTTCTGGTGGCAATCAAAGATTAAACATTTACGGTTGTATATATATATAATATATCATATCTCCAAATATATATATATATACATATTATATTATATGTCTGTATATGTGTGTGTGTGTATGTGTGTATGTGTGTATGTGTGTATGTGTCTATGTGTCTGTGTGTCTGTGTGTGTGTGTGTATCGTCTGAATAGACGTAAAACTTCGTCCTTATATTATATTATATATGGCAGGGGGCAGAGGGATCTCCAGTTGTGGCCTCTGCCAACGAAGCTCCACACTGGAGATCAGGTAAACGTACCTGCCTGTCCCGCCCTGGGCGCATTTAAGACGCAGCTGGGGGGACATAATATATTTTTCGCTGTTGTTTTATACTGTCATTGTCCACTGTGATCTATATATATATATATATCGTATATTAATTCGGCTCCTGTCTAATCTGCATGTTTCAGGATTCAGTTCCTGCCGGATCATATAATGATCCATTCTTGTCTAGTGTGATTCCTATGGTGACTCCGACATGGTGCCATAGGGCCATTTCAGGCAACCCCAATTGGGGTCAATGTTGACTGACTTGACTTCCGAATTTACACATTTTAATCCAGTAATTTATTTAAGTAAAGTGTAACAGCTGGCCCTTCCGTTTTGCACCGTTTTTTGAGTGTCCCGCTGATCCTGCGGTCCCTTGTGAAACCTCGTGGAATACAACTCTGTGACTGAGAAGCCGTGCTGAACATTCAGAAACCTCCGTTTTTGCAGCAATTTTCACAGCGACATTTGGCAACACTACATGAAATTGGATCAGGCAGGCTCATGTCTTTCAGGTGTGGTCTTTTTCCTTTTGATGGTTGTCTGGTGAAGTGAAACATGTTGTGCACCTAATTCGCTGGACTTTGGAAGCTGTTATATGCCAATTGGGGCAAGACTTGACCACGGTCCCGGTGCAGGGAATAATCGCACGACATTTAGGAAATTAGGGACTGAATCCTATTTTTGGTTTTGTTTTTCACTAACTAGTTCCCCATTGGTCCCCTATCTCATGCTCTCCTCCCTCCCCAGGTAGGTTGGTTCCGTCGCGTGCTGAGGTTTTTGTAGGTTTTCGCTTTGGCAGGTTGGTTCAGGCGCTTCCGTCTTCCCCCCCCTCCGCTGGTCTTGGTCCGTGTCCGTCGACCCTCCGCTTTTTTCTTTTCCCTTGCCTTTTCAGGGTTCGCCCGCTCCGGGCTAGCTGTGTTGGTGTGTGTTTGCTCCTTCCCTCTTCTTTTGCGTTCCCCTCTTCGCGTCCTGGTTAAGTAACGTTCATCTCATTGTCACTCTCATCTCATTTTCATCCCCCGTTCATCCTCACTTTCATCTCATTTTTACGCGCACCACCCTGCCGGAGGCAGGGTGTGTGTGTGTATCGTCTGAATAGACGTAAAACTTCGTCCTTATATTATATTACATATGGCAGGGGGCAGAGGGATCTCCAGTTGTGGCCTCTGCCAACGAAGCTCCACACTGGAGATCAGGTAAAAGTACCTGCCTGTCCCGCCCTGGGTGCATTTAAGACGCAGCTGGGGGGACATAATATATTTTTCGCTGTTGTTTTATACTGTCATTGTCCACTGTGATCTATATATATAATATATATCGTATATTAATTCGGCTCCTGTCTAATCTGCATGTTTCAGGATTCAGTTCCTGCCGGATCATATAATGATCCATTCTTGTCTAGCGTGTGTGTCTGTGTCTCTGTGTCTCTGTGTCTCTGTGTCTCTGTGTCTCTGTGTCTCTGTGTCTCTGTTTCTGTCTCTGTCTGTCTGTCTGTATGTATCTGTATGTATCTGTATGTATGTATATGCATTACATAATGTATTACTGAATGTATTACTGTATGTATTACTGAATGTATTACTGTATGTATTACTGTATGTATTACTGTATGTATGTGTGTGTGTGTTACTGTGTGTGTGTGTTACTGTAGTATGTGTATGTATGTGTATGTATGTGTATGTATGTGTATGTATGTGTGTATGTGTGTGTATGCGTGTGTATGCGCGTGTATGCGTGTGTATGCGTGTGTATGCGTGTGTATGCGTGTGTATGCGTGTGTATGCGTGTGTATGCGTGTGTATGCGTGTGTATGCGTGTGTATGCGTGTGTATGCATGTGTATGCGTGTGTATGCGTGTGTATGCTTGTGTATGTATGTGTATGTATGTGCATGTATGTATCTATCTATCTATCTAATCTAACCTTATCTAATCTGATCTAATCTATCTATCTATCTATCTAATCTAATCTAACCTAATCTAATCTAATCTAATCTAATCTATCTATCTATCATTATCTATCATTATCTATCATTATCTATCTATCTATCTATCTATCTAATCTAACCTAACCTAATCTAACCTAACCTAACCTAACCTAACCTAACCTAACCTATCTATCTATGTATCTATCTATCTATCTATCTATCTATCTATCTATCTATCTATCTAATAGAATCTATGTATCTATGTATCTATGTATGTATGTATGTATGTATCTATCTATCTATCTATCTATCTATCTATCTGTGTATGTTTGCATGCATGCATGCATTCATGCATGTACGTATGTATGCCGTTATATTCTCACTAGATTCCCCATTTCTGATATTTCCAGTGGATGAACCAATGGGAAAAAATGCGACAACCATTTGAAGCAAACCCAAGGGGCTGCATGAGGTATGTCAGTTCCATCCCGTTGCATCGACTCATGTCACTGAGAACCGTCGCCCTGCTGTGCTGAAGCACTGTACCATTCAGCATCAGCTTCACATCACACCCTTGATCCTTGGCTCCAGTGACCTCTCGAATCTTTTCATGCAAGGTGCCGAAGGTGATTTGGCAAGGCAGGTTGCGCAGTACCTTCGCCTCACCCTGCAGTCCAAGCAGTTTGAGGGTCCAGCCCTCCTGTTGACCTGGAAGGAGCGTGCCAGCCGTGCCAGCTGTATCTGTGCCAGTTGACCAAGCAGTCGGAGTGTCTGTGGCAGCTAAGCCAAAGTCTGACCGGAGAGCCTCCAACATTTCGCCAGCTTTTCGAACCTTGCCGCAACTCAAATCTCTCAATCCACTGGGATAAATAATCAAACCTCTCTTTTCGAACCTTGCCTCATTTTTACGGACATACTTTCGTATGTTTTGGAAATTTGGAACATGCTCTTGTGGGAAGAAACAAAGGTAGTTTTCGACACCCAAAAGGGCAGCCATGCATCCCACTTTTAGCCAATGGATAAAAGAACACGAAAAGCAAACAAAACATATAAGACCAACACATACAACCAGCAATACTGCTGAAATAAATCATACCTACATCATTCATCATCATTCTACATCCAATTTTTTTTAAGAATAATATGTGGCACGAACAACAAACTGAAAAATCCCAATATTGATTTTGTTGTAAAATCCTGTGCATATCCTTGAAACCTCTCAATATTTGACAGAATCTCAGAATACGACACACAAATCCCAGGCACGGAATGTTAAATGTCCATCATATCTCATTAAAATAAATGAAACCCCAAAAAAGAACTCTCCAAAACAATGGAGGCTGTTCAATCCATAATCCATCATAATCCATCATAATCCATCATAATCCATCATAATCCATCATAATCCATCATACTGTAATCCATCATAATCGATAATCCCAGGCACGGAGTGTTCACATTTCTTTGGATTACAATGGCGAAGAAACAGACGAAGCGATTGGCCCAAGAGCTCGCTATGGCCCTCCATGGCGCACACAGCGCAGAATGGGAGGGGGCCGCGGTTGGGCGGGGGGGTCGGCGCCCCGGGTCCTGGAGGAAAGCCATGGGGGGAAAGTTGAGTGATTCTGGTGGAAAGGACAGGGAGGATAAAAGATGATAAAAGGGACTTTGGATGAATTTAGACAACATATATTTGTCGCTTCTCACTATTCTTATTAGGATGCCACAGGCTTTGCTCAGACTGTTGGAACAAATAGCATCCTGGCTGGCTGGCTTACGAGGTATCAACCTCAAAGAATTTTGGGTGATATCAATTCATATAGAATCTAATATATACTGTGCATATTCTTGTGCAAACCAAGCTGCTATCTCCATCATGTCCTCGTCCAAACCTGAGGTAAACCCATAGCTGGGTGGTTAACACCATCCGGGAATGGTAGGTTTGTGAAATACCGAGTTTCCCACAATGTAGAATGTCAAAGAAACATGAAGAAACATCATTGTCCAAATCCATCAACACCATCCAAAACCTACATTCACATCTATTGAAGATTATCTGCTTAGTCCAATGGCATCCAGTGGGATGCATGGAGCGCCTTCCCAGAAAGAGATAGCGGCTAGAAGAGGAGGAACACATCAAGAAAACTTGTGGAAACGAAACATGACAGGTTTCAAAATATGTCAAAACACGTCGGAGAAAAAAAACAAAATGTAGAAGTTATCATTGTTATTATATAAAAAATCAATTGAGGATAAGTCAGAATTCTGGAGCCATGCTTTGGAACCCTTTGGATCAAAGAACCCATCCTCAGAGCACGCGCAGGAACCGTTCCACCCTGGGGCTCTGATCACCCACTTGCGATGTTTGGTTGCCATGGACAAACAGCTACCCTGATGGCAAAAAAAGATAGTGGAACGAATGGGCTTAATGATGATAAATGGACTGGAACATGATCATTAAGCCCAATGGACAAACAACTACCCTGATATTCCTACACTGGGCTTAATGGAACGAATGCCGGTCAAGCCACGCAAACATCCGCAGACACATTGAAGAGATGAAGCGACTTGAATCATTAGTCCACTGTGAAGCATTTTGAGATCTCCACTTCAATTGCCCATTTTTGTCAAAATCTTAGGTGTATCTGGGGATGAGTCAGAAACTCTGCAAGCCCCAGGGCCCCATCAGCATCCAAGAAACCTGTTCGACGCAAGAGGTGGTTCTGCTTGCTTGCAGATTGGGCCTTTGATGGCAATGGGAATTTTGGGGCCCCACGATGTGCTTGACGATCATGGAAATTGAATGAATTTGAACGTGTTTGATACTCAACCATTCAAATTCGGGTGTACATCCCCCAAGTCATTTTGTGCCATCATGATCAAGATCATGATCATGATGATGATGATGATGACGATGACGATGACGATGGCGATGATGATGATGATGATGATGCTGATGCTGATGCTGCGATGCTGCGATGATGCGATGCTGCTGATGATGATGATGATGATGATGGTGATGATGATGATGCGATGCTGCGATGCTGCGATGCTGCGATGCTGCTGATGATGATGATGATGATGGTGATGATGATGATGATGATGATGATGATGATGGCGATGGCGATGGCGATGCTTATGTTGATTCCGATTGGAACTGCATTGCTGCTCCTGGAGGTTTTATGTTGGCAGGGCGAGGCAAGGTCTGATAAAGTTGGTGTTGCCTGGACTACTGCCCCGAACTCAAAAACACGGCACTGGGAAATGATGGCATTCTCATTCCCAGCAGTTTCAATTTCTTCATATTTGTTCAATGATGGCACAAGTTTTCAAATATTCCAAATCAGCAGGGAATATATAAGTCACCAGATTTGATGTAAACTCAATTAAACTCACAAATGCTTTGTTCAATGATGGCACTCATTTCCTGGCAGTTCCAAATCAGCTACAAATGGGTGACGTACCATGGGCAGATTGGGCGGGTTGGGTTGCCTTCCCGAAAGGTGACCCCGACCGAAGAAGGGCTGGATTTCTTTAGGGCTCGTTTACCAACAACCAGGATATATAGGGCTTATATAGGGCTGATATAGGGCTTATATAGGGCTGATATAGGGCTTATATAGGGCTTATATAGGGCTGATATAGGGCTGAAATAAGGCTTATATAGGGCTTGTATAGGGCTTGTGTAGGGCTTATATAGGGCTTATATAGGGCTTATATATAGGGCTGATATAGGGCTTATATAGGGCTTATATAGGGCTTATATAGGGCTTATATAGGGCTTATATGAGCTGATATAGGGCTGAAATAAGGCTTATAAATTGGGCTTATATAGGGCTGATATAGGGCTGAAATCAGGCTTATATAGGGCTTATATAGGGCTTACATAGGGCTTATATAGGGCTTATATAGGGCTGATATAGGGCTTATATAGGGCTGATATAGGGCTTATATAGGGCTGATACAGGGCTTATACAGGGCTTATACAGGGCTTATATAGGGCTTACATAGGGCTTATATTGGGCTTATATAGGGTTTATATAGGGCTTACTTAGGGCTTACATAGGCCTTACATAGGGCTTATATAGGGCTTATATAGGGCATATTGCAGTGAACATCATTCAGCATCTATGATTGGGGGGATCACCTTTAGGGGTGGCTGCTGATTGATGCTGATATTCTATCAGTCCTTCCGGATATCGTCAAGCAGCCGTGCTGATCGCAGCGCCCCAAAGACTCTTCCCAGGTAGCAAGTTGCCTGCCCCAGCTTGGGGCATGTTTAGATCTGGCTGGATTTGCCCACTGGGGCCTCTTTGGGGTGCCAAAATACGTCCTAGGATGCTCTGAGGGGACATGCCAAGTCAAATTGGGGACACTAAAGTGAACATGGAAAATGATGATCGTTTGAAAACCGTACAGATGTAAATGGGTGAAACAAACCGTGGGGCAAGACTCGCTTCCATTCCACTTGGACAACTTCCTTATATCCAGGTGGGCAGGTCCGATCATGGCCGCCTACCCAGCATCAATCGACTTGGGAGCATCAAGACCAAACTTAGCTGAACATCCCCTACCGGAAGACACCATGCACTACTCTTGTGATCAGCAGTCAAAGGTCTGAAATTCAGCAGAACCTCAATGAGCAAATGTTCGGCATCTTGTCTTTGACAGGCATGTGATCTCAACTCGCGATTGGTTACAGGGGAAGTTCCCAAGTGACTGTGACCATTCTAAGAAATTACGCCCAAGAGAAACAACCTGTACATTGAGGACAATCCCAGTGTCGGTCTAGGTCACAATCGGTGAATCTATGAATAATATTAAATATTGAATAATATGCGAATATAACATAATATAACTTATTTGACTGGGAGAATCTCTCATTTCATACTCCAATAAAATCATACCTAAATGTTCTCTTCAAAAGTTGCCGACGTTTGCTGATCAAAAGCTGATTTTCCCATATTTTTCCCATACGTTTCCCAATTAAATTGTTCCATGATTTTCTATTTCTTCGCGTGAAGACCTCCCTCTTTCCCGGGCAAACGCCGGCCGCCTATGGTCTTTTGCAGCACCGGGTCCACCGAATCCTCCGAGTCCGAGGACGAGGAGCTGGCAGTGGCCGAGCCGCCGTCCTGGAAATCTTGGGCCAGTTTGGGATGATTTTCCTATCAAAACCATGATTCCAGGGCTCGGGAGAACAGTGAAGTCGTTATAATGTGATAATTTGCACATATGTATATATATATATGTATAAATATATATGTATAAATATATATGTATATATATATATATGTGTGTGTGTATGTATATGTATAAATATTTTTTGCTAGGGCTCCAAAGTAGAGATAGATTGATAGATATGTATGGGGGTTGGTTTCCAATAATCCAATGGCATATCCATACGTAGTTTTTTGGAGATATACTGTAATGGAGATATAATCGGGATATAACGGGGATATAATTAATCCTTGACTATGGGGATATTTCCTAAAATGGGGGTATCCCTAAATCATCGACATGTAGAACATTTTACCATTGAAACCCATGGTGACTTGGGGATCCCCCATTTTAAGACACCTTCACTTAAATAATCTTAAATAATCTTAAGTATGGGTATGGGTCAAAACTACAGATGCATGGTCCAGATTCTGCTCACGCTAAGTGTTAATCATGCAATTTTGGGAGAAAACACCGCCTGTATTTATAACTATGTCTGTCCCAATAAGTGTAAATGTTGCAAATCATCTACTAGACCATGGTTGCTGGGGGGTGTTGAATACTAGGGGGAGGGGAATATGTAATAGAACATGAGTATATATCATACCTGTGATTTAAACAAATTGAGTATATAAAATATTGACATGATAAATATTGATAAATGATAGACGACATAATGCAGCATAATATATTATAATATTATTATAATATATCAAATAGTAATATACTGTATATATAGTTTCTAGCAGAATCTTACCCATATTCCAAGGCTGTTCATATTCCATGCCAAAATAGCTCCGAAAAATTGGAAAATAATCGACGAGCTTTGATGGTGAGAATGAGGTTGTGTGACCCTTGTCAGGCGCACCTTTTCTCTTGTCACGTGCTGTCATGTCCAATCGCGCATGTTTAACCCCGTTAAGACCCTTTGAGCCCACAGCTTCTCAAGCAATGATTTCTTGAATAAACATGAAGTCTTGTTTCTCTCATCAATCATCAACTTCTCTCTAGGATCTTCTAAGACCATTGGATAAGCTGTTCAGCTTATTTCTTGACGCGTTTGGCTGGCGGTTCAGCTTCCGCATCCGTAAACTGGGCCAAGTCTGGATTACGCTGTTCTTCCTCGAACCCAAATGATACCATATTTCCACTTAATACCTTGAGTGGGATGCCACCCCTGGAGTACGATGCCCCCCCCTGGAGTACGATGCCCCCCTGGTATGCGTTGCCATTCCTGCATGTGGGATTCTCAAGCATATGTTGACATCTATTTTGATCAAATTGGGGTCACAAATTCCATTCCATTTA